TTATTGTTCCCAGAAGGCTGTGTCTATCTGCTTGGGCATACTACCCAAGGGTGGACTGCAGGGCAGGGGGGCAGGATATTAATCTCTCCTCCATTAGCTCCTTAATATCAAGAATCTGTTTAGTCTTCATGTTCCAGCAGCCGCTGGGGCCTGGCACCTGGTGATGGAGCAAGGATAATTTTATGTTTTGAAGTTTTCCAAAGGTGATTTGGGGAAATCAAATCATCCCACCATCCTTCCACCAATCAGGACTCAGCTCTCTGACTGTGCACTTTGATACAAAAATAATGCCTTTGGCTTCCCTTCCTTCACGCAATTTAATAAGCAAGTTATGAATTTGAACTATCAAAGGCCAATTAAAAGAAACTGTCATCTCTAAACCAAGAACATGTAATATACAAACAAACAAACAAACAAACAAACGAACAAACAAACCAAGAATGCAGGCCACCTAGATTCTGGCCCTGATGTCATTTCAGTGTAAGGAAGGAGGTCCAGGTGGATGGGAGCCGGGACCCTTAGCCGGCAGGCCTCTCAGCCCCGCCTGGTGTGGACCCAGATGCTGAGGCCCACGAATGACAGTACCAGCCCCCTGCCCCTGCGAGTGGAACATCACTGTTCCGGGTGGATGCTCTCACATAGGTCTCCCTCTGGGTCCTCACAGCACCTTGGGGGGAATTATTTTGTCATTAGTAGCCCAGGACCCACAGCTTGGCTTTACCCTGCCGGTCAGGTGTCATCTCTCAGCTTTATCTAACATTGCCCCTGCAGTCAGGGCTCCAGCTGCAACCTTCAAGCCCTCTACCCTTGTAAAGGCTATTTTCTTTGCTGGGAGTGCCCCTCCCAACCTCCCTCCTTCCAGCCTAGCCACCTGACTCGTTCCTGACACGCCCCTCATCTCCTCCCCCTTCTGATCAATATCCTCACCCTCCCAAATATATCTAATTATACATATGTCATGACTACATATTTTAGCACTGAACACATTGTAGTCATTCATTTGTTCAACGAAAGAACACTGGCTACGTGCTTAGAACAATGTCGGGCACAAGCTCAGTGCTCAAAAAACGTTTGCTCTCGTCAATAACACCATTCCTTCGTTCATTTAATGTTTGTGGAGTGTCTCGGCTCTAGGCTGTTCATAGCAGCCACAGCAGTAAACAAGAAAAACCGTAGCTCATGCCTACCCCACACCGACTCGCGCGCTAAGAACCCATTCTTAAGGGCTGGAGGTGCGGGACGCTGGGTCCCGCCCAATGCTGGGACTACAAGTCCCAGAAGTCTGCGCATCCTCGCCCGTGGGCCCGCCTGTGCGCATGCGCTACGTCGTGACGCCAGGGCCGCGAGCGGGCGCCAGTGGCTGCGGCGGGCGGCGAGCGGGCGGCGGGGCGGGGCCAGCGGGCGGTGGCCTTTAGGGCGGAGCCGGTGCTTGCGGGTCTCAGTCGGCCGCGGGTTAGCGGCGGTCGGCGTCCAGCGCCCGTTTCTCTGGTTCGCCAGCTCTCGCGCGGAGTTCAGCCGCTTTCTCTGCACTGCCCGCGGGTCCCGAGCGCGGCGTCATGTCGGATCCCGGGGGTGGCGGCGAGGACGGCTCGGCCGGCCTGGAGGTGTCGGCCGTGCAGAATGTGGCCGACGTGTCGATGCTGCAGAAGCACCTGCGCAAGTTGGTGCCGCTGCTGCTGGAAGACGGCGGCGAGGCGCCGGCCGCGCTGGAGGCGGCGCTGGAGGAGAAGAGCGCCCTGGAGCAGATGCGCAAGTTCCTCTCGGACCCGCAGGTCCACACGGTGCTGGTGGAGCGCTCCACGCTCAAAGGTGCGGCCCGGCCCGGCCGGCGGCCGGCGGAGCCCGGGTGCCCCTTCCGGGTGGCGGGGGGAGGAGGGCGTCCCTGTCTCGCCGTCACCCCCAACAATGGCATCGCTTTGTCTGCCGGCCTCAAGATGGCCGAGTTGGGTGGAGACAGCGTCTCCGGGCTGAGCGCGGCAGGCGGAGGCCGCATCCCGGCCTCCAATGTCACATGAGCTTTTCGGTTTCGATTTGTGTCCTGGCGCCGAGGATCTGGGGGGGACGTGGGCTGGGGGTTCTGGCC